GTTAATCCCCTCGCTGAGCTCTGCTCCAGGTGACTCGTCCCATCCTGGGCAAACAGGTTCTGGTGTGCGCAGCCCAACCTCCCCCAGCAGCCAGCGCTTTCCCACGGCTGAGCCCTCGCAAACCTCGTTACATCCCAGGCCGGTCCCCGTGGGCTTCGCACCGGGTGCCCCAGTGCACACCAACAGGGTCACTTCCCTGATTGTGCCTCAGTTTCCCCAAATCCCATGAGCTCCTGTTGCCCTGTGAGCCAGGTTTTGGCCGTGTCAGGTCTCAGGGGTGGTTTGTCCCCACGTCCCCAAGCAGGGACCCCGCTGAACCACTGAGTCATGGCACGTTTCCTCCCGGCACCCCGGCGTTTCCCATCAAAGGCCGGCTCCTGCCCAGCCCTGCTGCTCTTGATCTGATGAGCTCATAGCCCAGGGTGCCGGGACTGTATTTTATTGTAATTATTTTTCGTGTCGAAAGCCGCGCTGGTGGAACGGGGTGGGGGGGGATGAGCTGCACCCTTTGCTGTGGCCGGGCGCCAGGGCCAGAATTGCTGAGCTTTCTCCAGCTCTGGCACAACCAGACCTCGATGGGGCCGTCCCCAACCTGGTGACACCCCAGGGCTGTCCCCTTGTGCCTTTGGGGACTCCCCCACCAGCACCTTTGAGTGTCGAGGAGAGCTGGTGGATTGGGGACCTGCACAAGGGCCTTGGTGATGGGTTTTGGGGCACCAAGGGGGTGGGACACAGTGCGGCATCGGGGACCTTGGTGCACCCCATGCTGAAAATCATCTTCTTTGAGGTGCCAAAACCCTCATGCTGAAAATCATCTTCTTTATGGTGCCGAAACCCTCGCCCCACTCTGTGACCCCTTCCAGGGGCTGCAGTTTTGCTGCAGCCAAGGGATGGGGCTCACTGGGCACCCCAAGACACCATCACAGGGCTGGGGGGGGTAATTGGGAGCAGCCAAACTGGTGCCAAAGATCCCATGGGGGGACCCAAGCGCTCTCCCCGTCCCGTGGAGAGGAGG